AACACCCATGAGTCTGATTTTGTATATTACCGTATTTTAAGAATCTATGATATCACTTCCTGTTTTAGGTTTTTTTTTTTTTAAGCACACCTATGCTATCTTAATGGATGACGCCCCTTCGCTCTTTTCCATCTGAGAGAACTGAAGCCACCAGATTCCCAATATGGCGCTGACATCTTGGAACTTGAGTCTGCGCACTTGCGTTTTCGGGAGCAGACATCGGGCGCAGTCGTGAGCAGAAAGTAAAGCCGTGAAATCAAGCCACCGCCCTCATTCTCGCTGAATCAAACCCAAGCACACGCCCCTGCGCTTTTATTAAGTGGCCTCTGTTTGCTCCGTTTCTCTCCATTGATATCTGCTGATTGCAATACCTCGTTAAAATAAGGCAAATACAACTACTAACCACATAGTCAACATTATATGAAAGAAAGTCTATTGGTGCTTCAGTGACTACTTCGCACAGAAAACCTGTCAATCATGAATGCAAAGTGGATTTTCAGCACTGAAAATAGCATTTCCTCAAGGAATCAAACTCTTCCAGACCTCAGCTGCGATTACAGTATAAAATAAGTAGACGTTGTTCAAGCCAGCCAATGAAGACCATAGGCTGGCATTATGCAAATGTGTTACATTACTACATAGGAATAAATGATTATGCCAAACTACTTAAGTTCTTTTCAAGAATTTTAATGAAGTTTTTATCCTCATTATGATATCAGAATATCTAAATCACCCTGACATTCTGATCTCCAAAAATTATCAATAACTTTTAATTCAGAAATTGCACATCGTAGAAAAGATGTATTCAAGTCATTGCCTTAATTGCATTTTTCTGATATTTTTGAATACATTAAAAGAAATGCCATCACAAGGAGTGTCACGTCATTGAAACTTATGCAAGGCTCTGCAGGCACAGATTCCTGGCCAGTGATTTACAAAAAAACTCTACTAGGCACACAAAAAATGTTAAAGCAACTGCATTTTCCCCAAGGTGGATGGAGAACAAAATGCCTTTTCAAAATGTACTACCTAATAGGCTACGGCTATTGTACCAGACAGAAAAGTATTAAATTAGCTTGCTTTGTGGTATCAGTCAGACATCAATTGCTCCCATGACCAACTGCAGGGTGAACACCCGCATAGACATGACACATATGTTAGCCTGGACCACAAAAACAGTCACATGGGTCATTTTTCAGAAATTGAAGTTCTATTGAAGTTTTCAATAGATGTAGAGGATATGACAATATTTGACTGAGATACAATTATTTGAAAATGTGGAATCTGAAAAAAAAAAAATCGAAACATTAAGAAAATCGCCTTTAAAGTTGTCCATTTACGTTAGCGATTGTGCTGCATTCATTCACAAAAATAAATGTTTTATACATTTACGGTAGGAAATTTACAAAATACCTTCATGGAATATGATCTTTACTTAAAGGGATACTCCACCTCTGGAAAGATGAATGTGTATTTAAAATGGGCCATTTAAGTAGAAGAAATGTGAAATTATTTTTGAATTTGGAGCTTTCTAGACAGAGAAAAGCCAGAAAGTGTATTTTTGGGACAACAACTCCCAGAAAGTTTGGAAAGCGTGGGATCTAGTGCTTGTAGTCTTTACAGAAACCCCCCTCCCTCTTACACTATCGCCTACAATGACGTAAAATTACGATTTTTGCGTCATTGTGGGAGGAAGTGAAAAAGGTAAATGGCAGATTTCTCTCGTCTCAGGGGAAAATGAGAGAGTGTTGCACGACCATTCAATAGTATGACTGGGTTTCTAACAATGGAAAGCTTAATGCAAATGGGTGGAGTTTCCCTTTGATATCCTAATGATTTTTGGCAAAAAAATAAAAAATTTTGACCCATTCAATGTATTGTCAGCTATTGCCACAAATATAACCGACCCGTGCGACTTGTGACTGGTTTTGTGATCCAGGATCACAAATTAGAGATAGCAGACACCTGGTGAAGCTTCCCAAATACCAAATATCTCTGCTCGCTGCATCCATTGGCTTACGTTTCTCATTCATGGCTCCCAACTCAAACCTGAACCATCCCGAAGAAAGCCAAGTTCAACGCCACCAATCGCAATGCGATTCATTAAATTTCCATCATTTCTCTGGCTGTTCATGGTGGTCTGTTTTGAATTTTTTTCCCTCTGATTTTCTTGGCACATTTATTCTACGCTGGAGTCTAGGAGAAGCCTCCCTTCTGGGAGAAGAAAAGAGAGCCAGAGAAAAGCCGTTAGCTCAATGAGAGAGAATTCAGGCCGACTACCTTCTCCATCAAGTGTGAGGGAGGACAAAGGAGGAAGAGAACGCTGAGGCATTGTTTCTCCCTCACAGGGCATTGTTTTAACCATTATGGCTTCACTTCCAAATTCAATACCCCAAAATCCACTCGAAGGAAAACGATGATTGTAATGGAGCTATCAGGAGAATCACGAAGAAGGTATCAAGGGGTGCTTTAATGAGATCCAAATGACAGTTATTGCACATTTCAGCAATTAGTACGGCTGCGCTAAGTGTATAGGGTGCACAGCAGAGGTCTGAACATGGAGGTGTAAAATTTTGCAAAACTGGCTTCATTCCAGTCTGAGGTTGGACAATGTGTTTCGTTTGGTCCACTAGACCGATGAGAGAAAAAGAGAAATGGAGAGAGTGCAGATGTCGTCGATCAGTCGTATCAGGTGATGCAGTAGCCAGCGGTATGGAGGCCCTTGGAGACTCTCTGCTGGATGAAGCGCCTGGGGCCATTTTCAGCCTCAGCAGCCAAAGATGTTGCAAACACTGGGAGGAGCGTGTAACAGAGTAACAGATATTTTTGCAATGATCTTAAAGTGCTGAACGAACGCATTCACAAACCTGTGAATAATCTCCGTACAGGACATCCAGTGAGAATAGCGACTGTTCAGAATCTGCTAACTGTATACTGAGTATTATAGATCCAATACAGCCTATTTTTGTCTAAATACTATTAAAAAAAATGCATTATTCAACCCTTTCAAAAAGTGGTCGGCTTACTTTGTCACATGAATACATTTACGTCAAAATTAAAACTTGAGATAGATAACTTCTTAAAATAAAAGTTCAGTCAAAAACGAAAACCGTCATTGTTTACTCACCCTCATGTCATTCAAAACGAGTTTTGTTCTTGCACTTCAAGCGAGTACAATTGAGCTTTGTTGTTTACCAGATTTGATGTGTTCTAAGGATGGGCATTGATCAATATTTATATGAATAAAAGTCTAAATTAAATACGTTCATCTTATAAAGTGATCGTGTCTCTTCCGAAGACTTGGATTAAACCACTTGATTTATATGAATTACTTTCACAATGAACATCTTGAAGTGTCAAACTTTTGGTTGTGTGTACTTTCAATGGACAGAAATGATGAGAGAATACATTTTCATTTGTCTTCAGCAGATGAACAAAAGACTAATGGGTTTGGAACAACATTAGGGTGAGTAAATAATTAGCCTACATAATTTTCATTTGTCGGTAAACTGCCCCTTTGAAAAGTTGGTAAAAACTGTGTCAGATATTATATTATACTTCATTTGTGACACTGCAAATGAAGTCAAGTCAAGCATGCTCCTTTTCACAAATATAGTAGCCTAGAAAACACAGGACATATGAATACTGTATACTTCATACATTCGAAACATGTTTAAACACTAGAAACATCTAGACAGAAAAGACGACGACTCCAGATCAGATGTTCGCAAGTGAAACCAGAATGTGTAAATTCACTTGTAACGCACCTGATGAAAGATCAGCTTTTCTTCAAGTTAGTCCAAGTTCATCAACTCCCACTGCCTCAAGAGTAAACTTCCCAAGCCAAATATTCTCATTACACCAATAATTACACTGACTATGGACACTGTAAGCACACATTCATTATCCCTAAATCAGCATTTAAAATCCTAATGGATAATTGATACCAACAGGGAATCCGTTACAGAGCCAAATGCAATCACTGGAAGGGATTTTCTCCCCCTCATGACGTTTCAAATCTATATGACTTTGTTTCTTCCACAGAACACAAAAGGAGAGTTTAGGCTCAATGACAGCCTCAGTCACCATTCACTTTCATTGTATGGAAAAACAAATGAATGTGAATGGTGACTGAGGCTGTCATTCTGCCTAACATCTTTTGTGTTCTGTGGAAGAAACAAAGACATATATTTGAAACATCATGAGAAACAATTTTCAATTATTTACTGTTCCTTTAAATTGATATGTGAGCTTCAGCTACACAAGATAATTGAGGTAATTAAAGATCATTGTGAACCTCTTTTAAATGTTAAATATAAAAAGGCTGCAGTGCATTATTGGCATCTTCTTTCTTTATGAAAACAGACCCATTTGGGTATGCTAATATACATCTCCATTAAGTTAATTATTAGACACATTATATAGCATTATATATTCTATAGTTTATATCTACACAGCTTCTCCATGAGCACTGAAGTCACTGGACTCAATCTGCTGTCTTAAAGTTTATGTGCCAAAACTTTCTCTATTACATTCAATATCTATAAAAAGTCCATTTCAAGACACTGTACCATCCTCTCCCAATAAAACAGAGTGTTTCAGACCCGTCAGAGTGTCTTAAGTGGGGCGTGCAACTCAAACTTTAACTTTAACAAAAAAAAAAATTCAAAAGCTTCTCTTCTGTGTAAATTTAAGAGTTACCCGCTTGTTACGAACACTCAATGACACCCGCACGCGCTACATCATGCTAACGGCAATAAATGTAGCGCCAGTTAGTAGTAAAAACATTCTCGGGGTCCCGAAACGAGAGTGTTCCTCTTCATCTCGCTGCTCGCAATCCCCATCACCATCATCATCCTCTCACTGTAGTCCTCCACTACTTTAAAAAATAAAAGAGGAAGGACAAATCTAAAACTGCTAAGCCCTTTTGCGAAAAGACATGAACGAGAGCGACACACACAAAAAGGGCACGACATTTTTTACCCAGCATGATCTCTTACCTCCGACCCGGTACATGTTGGCTGCCATGACTGCCCCGGTCCTGCCTGGCGTCTCCAGGTAGGGCTTTCTCTCTCCGCCGCCGCCGCTGAGTGCTGTGCGCTGGAAAATGGTGGATTGATCAATACGAAGCGGACTAGTGAAGGGATCTTAAAGAGACAGTGCACATATTTTTACGAAGCCGCGTTCCACGGGGCGGTGTGAGGGATCTCGTTCAGAATCACCCGCGTGTTTAGAAACACCTTCTCAACAAAGCGGGATCCTTACGCAGGAGCAGAGACTCGGGCCACGGGGCTGGAGAGCAGCGCGAAAGGGGAGGGGAAGGGGGTCTGTGTACGGGCAGCATCACTCGCGTTTCCCCGCCTACTTCAAATGACCAAAACCATCGCTGCTGTACTACTTTGGACCCGCTAGAGGCGAAATGAAACTAATAAACAACTGTTGCTCTCAGACTAAGTTTCAATTCAAACAAAGATCTCAACGAGTTTTCTATAATAGCTAGAACAAGGAAAGAAATTCCTCTCTGTGGAGGATCATGTTTGAGTAACTATCTTTTCTGAAGAAAAGCTGAGTGGCGCCTTCAACATGTTGGATTTGCCTCTGTATGGTGCAATGAGTCCATAGATTGCATCCCAGTGTCTCTCTATATATATAATATTCTGATGCTGAGATTTGGCTGGGTCATGGGTCACTATATGGTGGCTATGTGTGACTAGTTACTAGGCATGAGTAGGAAGTTGCTACAGTGTTGCCGAATGGCTGTTTGTTGGCCTGAGTCAAAAGAGGTCACCCAAAGACTCTGATATGATTCTTTTTGTACTTTTTTCTTTTTTCGTTTGTCTTGTCTTTCCTCAGTATCCAGAGGCTTTGTCTGGAAAAAAGAAAATCAGTTTTACCTGCCAAGCAATAGTTAGAGACAGTCTGAATATGCCTAGTTCCATATTAGTAGTCAAAAATAAGTCGTACAAGTGGCTGCCTTAAATTTTTTAAGTACAATCAATGTGGATGTCATTTCAACTTAAATTACATTAAATTGACTTTAAAAATTAGTTTAATCTTGTATAACATAAAAAAGGTAGGAAATAGCGTCATATTTTGATGAGTTAAAGCAATGTAAAAACATATGGTGTTGTCATAACTTATTGATCATATAATTTTTACTATGTATGTCAGAATTCATATGTTTATAAAGCACAATGCAAAAAGTATCGGATGACCTATAGTTCTGGCATGAAGGGTGCATCTGATGGACACTTTATATCCCATGAGGCCACAGGAGAGAAGTTGGAAATGGAAGTGAAACTTACACCATAAGACACATAACAATGGTGACATGGTGAATATACTGTACTATGTCCGGATTTCATTCATTCTACACAGAACATAGTCATTTTTATTCAAATGTTACTCAGACAGTGTGATTCGGATGCAGCTGTGGATTGTGTCAAAGGTGATGGATGGATATACTCACTGCTGAAAAGATCAGGATATTTGGTTGCCAAAACATGTTGTGTTTTGGATGCTGGTCTCCCCATAGGCCATTAAAAATCTTATCAAGACTTCCTTGGTCAATCAGCTTCACCAGCCAAATTTCGCTGGTCAACAGCATGCCGTGAAAATTCATGCAGGTCTAAGTCTAATTCAACCTGAAAAAATCACATAATTAACTATACTTTTCACATTAAGCTTAATTGTGGGTTAATGTATTTTATTAAACCTGGCCTGAAGCCACTTTTAACCCTGGATAACATTTGAGATTTGCAATTTTAGGGGTTACAACTTATTTGAACAGCTTTTAAAGGAATAGTTCACCCAAAATTTCAAATGTTGTGGACTATTTACTCACCATCATGTTGTTCCAAACCAGTGTGAGTTTCATTCTTCTGTTGAACACAAAAAAAGATATTTAGAAAAATGTTGGTAACCAGACAGTTGATGGTACCCATTGACTTTGATCGTACAGTGATTTTGCCAAGTAAAGATATCAACATATTTTGTTGATCCTTGAACAACATTACCATCCGCAAACATAGTCCTAACCCTATCCCTACACCTAAACATAACCTATACGTACACACAAGTTATCCCTAAAATCATAGGGAAATGATAGGTGATAGAAGCCCCTAACCTTGGTTTTGAGCCTAAACTTGACATGAACTGTAAACCCTCAAATCTGATTGGTTGATTGGAATGTTGTTTCAAGGTCAACAAAGATGTTGATCCAGGAACATGTTGTATTTGGAGAAATCATTGACTTCCATAGTATTTTTTTTTTTTTTACTACTGTTTGATTACTAAAAATGTACAAAAAACATTTTTTGTGCTCAACAGAGGAAAGTAACTTACTTATTTGTAAGGTTTGGATTTATATGTCAAGTGTGAATCGCCTAATGGTCATCTTGTAGAGCTAAGGGAGATGGTTTTAATGACTACCAAAAGCTTTCTGCTTTCTGCCTGAAGCACCTTCTGGTACATAATAAAGAAATGTGGTAGTTTCTATGTCTGTTTAAGTTCCGAGCAAGTAGTCTAAACATTGGTTGACAGTTACTTAACCAGATTTTTATAAACTGAGGTCCTGTTTTATTTATTTGTTCACTAGCCTTGGAATAAGCTCAAAGTCTCAAAAGCCAGTTTATAATTATACTTTCCAAGCATACACAACTACAAAGATTTAGCCTCCTCTAAGTTTGGTCTAAAGGGGAACACTGCTTTTCAGAAAGGCGTTGTGGGTGGCACATAAACTGGTCATTAAATCATCTAAATAATCAGATTAAATACATTTCGCTAACAAAATTCAACCAACAGTCCAATCAGATTACTTCGTTCGATTCTCTGTTCAAGGAATATAAACTCACTCTGGTACACAGATGCAACATACAAAAATAGGTCATGAGTAAACAGGGCCGTCGTCGCCCACTCTTCGCTGAATATAAGCAAATGAAAATGAGGATGATCATAAATTAATGAGCAAAACATATGTAATCATAAACGCTCCTGACTATTTAAACGAGGCTTGACACATGTTAATGATGTCGTTTTGGTGGAGAAGATTCAGGGGGAGCAGAGTGGGATTTCGTGAGCACTGGTTTTGGTAAGGCACCTCATGTTTGGTGGTTGTTGTTAGTGAAGGCAGAGTGGAATGCTGTGGTGAGCAGCTGATTTACACCATATGAAAACCTTACAAACTGAGCTCTGCCTCGAGCTGTAATCTGCAATCACATGACCGGCCTCAGCCAATGGCAGGTTTCAACTTACCCTCTGTGGAGACTCACAACAAAGCAAGTCCCTGCTGCTGATTTGTGTGAGTGAGTGCCTACGTATTTATTGGTAGATGTGTGTGTTTTTTGGGGCCTGACTTCTTCAAATTGAAGCAATCGAATTGATGGAATCATACCACACCTAGTGATCATGAAGCGGTTATCGTGATGATGTGTTATGAAGTTGTAGTGTACTGTTCATTTTCTGCAGTCAGTCAATACCAAGGACTAAACACCTCTAACGTGCAGTGGAAGGCTTCGGGATTCTTGAACTCTGTCTCTCGATCTCCCTCGCTCTCGGCAGAGCCCCAGCTGGCCTTCTCCCAGGGCTCTTGCTCTAGCACAGCAGGAAACTGCTAGAGAAACAGAAGAAATCAATTAAGGCGTGTGGCCTGATCAAGCCCCGTCTTTTCTGGTGTTCCCTCTTAATACGGACTTAATTACAGACAAACACGGTCAACAAATAATATAAACATTGTTTTCCTTCCATGATGTGACTTTGAACTGGGGTCCTTACAATCATATAATTTGAATTGAATATATTTTCACACTGTCTGCATCATTTGACAGCTTGACTACAACAACTTCAGCTTGATTGGCAGGCTAATGACACACAATAAAAACAAAATGACATCTATAATAATTATATACTGTATATACACTCTCAGAAAAAAAGGTACAAAAGCTGTCACTGGGGCTGTACCTTTTAAGGGTGCATATATTGGGGTAAAACTTCCTTTTACAGTCCAGTTACTCATTTAAATACTATGTACTTATTTTAGTAACTACAATTAACTAGTACTAACTCTGAACCTACCCCTAAACCTACCCCTGTTCCATGTACTTACCTTATATTAGCCAGTAAGTACACTGTAAGTACACTGTAAGTACTGTACTGTAAAAGGAAGCGTTATTGGTACTTTAATGGTACAAATTAGCACCTAAAATGTACATATTAGCACCTAAATGTCCATATTAGCACCAAAAATGTACATATTAGCACCAAAAATGTACATATTAGCACCTAAATGTCCATATTATCACCTAAAATGGACAAAAGTTTTCCCTTTTGAAAAGGTACAGCCCCAGTGACGGCTTTTGTACCTTTTTTCTGAGAGTGTGTGTGTATATATATATATATATAGGCCTATACAGTATATATATATATATATATATATAGCCTATTAAGCATGATTTTCTGGTGTAGTGGAATTTACTTTAAAACAATATAGTTATTGAAGTGGTTTATTTCCCTAAAAATAATGATATTAAAATATATTTGAAAGACATTTATTTTAAGTCTTTGAAGTGTTTAATTATTTTAGTTCATGCTTTGCAGACTGCTTGATAACTTTATTCAATATCTGTATATTTCACAAGAGAGTGACACTTGGGTTTATGTGAGGATTGTTTTAAGTTCACTTAAAAAAAATTATATTTTTGAAGTCTAATAAATGTTTTTAAAACATTCTAAAACATCGCCATTAAGCAATTATTTAAAAGATATTGTCTTTAAGTTGTTTCTACATAAATTTAGAAATTAACTGATTTTTTTTTTGCATTGTAACATAAATTTAAAACTTCAATAAAAACTTAAGTGTGTTAATCACAATTAATCACAAAAAATTGTGTGATTAATCTAGTTAATTTTTTTAATCGATCAGCAGTAGCCTATGCTGATCAGTTTCATGTGATATATGTAGCCTATATATATGTATAAACAAACATACTGTTAAAAAAAAAATTATTTCAACTTTAAGTGTTTGTCCTGCCTTAAAAATTGAGTCAACTCAAATATCCAAGTTGTCATTTAGTACAACTTCACATTTCAAGATGACAAAACGTAAAATTTTAAGGCAGCACTAACAAGTTGAAACAAAATTATTATTATTTTTTTTTACAGTGTATCAGAAATGCAGGTAAAATTGTGCTTGTAGAATGGATGCCAAGATTTATTGATACAGAACATCAAAACAGAAAAAACACTTATGCAGATAATGAGAGGACATCTGATCAACTTAAAAGTCATACAGCACATACAACAGGAAATGATATGGGGGATGACATC